GGAAATTTCTTCCCCCATATTTCACGTGAGAATCTCTACATAATAAAAAATTATAAATTTATATTTCTGTAAATTATAATATAATTACGAAAACTTTAAACTTAATTAATTTTTATCCAATCCAATCTAAATTTATATTTTTATAAATTACAATATATTTATAAAAACATAAAACTCAATTTGCTTCAAATTTTTACTCTCTAAGTTTATATTTTTATAAATTACAATATATTTATAAAAACATAAAACTCAATTTGCTTCAAATTTTTACTCTCTTTATACTATTTTTATAAGTTTATTAAACTATATCCATTTATTAGACTATTGTGTGCATTTGTTAGATACTGTATGTATTTGTTAGTTTCAAATTTTTATTATTTTTTTATTTCTTTATGTGGTACTTTTACAATTTTAATATTTGACAGGAAATTTACATACCCATGAGAACTTATTATTTCTTGCAAAAATGGAAACAAAGAGCAATTTTTGCCCTCCACCAAAGATCCTCACAAAAATTCCTATACCGATCATTAACAAAGACAGAGATAGAGAGGGAGTCCAGCCCCCGCAAGGACCCATTGCCAACACTAGTTTTGAGTCATCAACAACTAGATAGCATTCTGCATAGCCAGATGATGCCAAGTTGTGAATAAAATATTGGAATATGTAAACCACTTTTAATTTTAATAATAGAAAACGTCAACAACTGCCTGATTAAATTGCTCTGGAACAAATTTAAATTAATTTAACTTTATATTAAATTCTATCATTTATAATTTAATTTAAATTGAATTTTAATTTGTGAAACACGTATTATATCATATATATTCCTTGTACTAATAAAAAATGGCTCTTCTACAGTAGTATGTTCAGAACAAAAAACATATGCTTATATATTTTTATTAAAAAAACACTTGCTTATATATGTCATGAGTCATACGCCCATCACTTCTCCACTAAGTCCTAATTTCGCATCGCAGTTCGCAGACAAAATTAAACCTTAATTAGATTTGGTTCAGCGTGATAAACAGAAATCAAAACAACATAAGATTAGCTAAATTTATTTATTTAGGTTACATATCAATTTTAGTAACTGAACTTTTATTTTTTAATATTTTTAGTCTTTGAATTATTTTTTGTATTTTTTATTTTTAAATTATAAAAAAATATTTTTAAAATTTTTTTATCCACTAATCTATTAAATTTATTTATATATATACATTTTTAATCTCTAAAATTTTAAATTTAACGACTAAAAATATATATTATAAATTTAAAAACTAAAAATATTTATATTAGTATAAAATTTCGTTGTCGTCAGATATTTTTCCACATCATATAATGTAAATCGAAATGACTTATACCATTTCCTAATGTAAAAAGGAAAACTTAACAACCGAAGGCCGGTGTTCTGCGCGTGGAATGTCGGAGGAACACTGCTGATCGAGTGTTGTCTTCCACACGGAAGTTTTATTTTATTTTTTTGAACAGGGTCTTCCACAGAGAAGTTCCCCACGAAAGTTCTACAAAATGTGTATTATATTGATGAATACTAGCAAAGAAAGTTCACCCCCTTTCCTCATTTGATGTTTCGCACAAATCCTAGCTCTCAACTCCAACATGTCAAACTTCGGGTTCCTCCCCACTAACATTCCTCACTACCCAAACTCTATCTTCGGTCTCGATCATGTTCGTCAGCAGTACTTTCATCCATGTGATTATGATCAAATGCTAACTCATGGCTCAGAGGAAGAAAATACCATTGGTTTTAACGCATATCCTTCGCAAAATGATCATGTTAAGCCACAGCAGATCATTCCAAATATTTCCGTTTACCGTGCCAGAGAGCTGCCATGGAGCAGATCAGAAGTGCAAGAGTTAGCAACTCTTCAATTAATTTCTTCTCTAAATTAATTATACGTACTGGAGTTGTTTGATCATATATATTTAATCTAAATTTTTTATTTGTACATATTACTCCTAATTTTTATTTTCTTTTTTATTTGGTCTTTAATTTGCAGAGAAGAAAATGGTGGTCTGGATTGTAAAATTGCTTTCCGAACCGAATCAGATATCGAGATAATGGATGATGGGTTCAAATGGATAAAGTATGGGAAGAAGAAGGTTAAGAATAGCCAATATCCAAGGTAATAACATCAACCATATCAACTAATTTAATTATTAAATTGTGTTTAGAATTGTTA